TCTATTTTGAACTTGAAATTTTCTATCGGCAACTATATAAGACACAGTGGTGGGGAGCCATAAATGAAATAGTGAACACTTTGAGGGTGAAAAGACTTCCACTGACAGATGCTCAATTACATGAACAATTTAACAAAAAATTTGGTTTCAAAAAAGCTATGAAATGCAAGGTATTTCAGTGACTATCACATAATTCAGTATAAGAAGTTACATATTATCAAGAAGTATATTTCTCTAATTTTTATCTTAAGGATTAATAAAAGGTTAAATAAAATCTTCAATATAATATAAAATCCCACATTTCACTATCTAAAAGCTACACAGTTCTGGATTATAAACTTCTGGAATAGTATGAAACAGCCTGTTAATGAATTAGATTGTGATTAATCTTAATAATGACTAATATTTATTAATTTGCTTATGTTGTATGCCAGGCACTATTATAAATCAAAAAATTCTCTTAAGGCACTAGTTCTATTAGCAGTCCTATTATACAAATGAGAAATTCGAGGTGTAGAGTGTTAAAATCTTTCTCAAATAACACAATTCATAAATGGCAGAAGCTGGCTTCAGTCCTCAGAGTGAACACAAGGAACAAACTTAAAATCCTGACTCAAATGGGTATGTCTGTTTCACAAACCTTGACCTAACAACTTTTGGAACTGATCATTAAGTTCACCAATGTTTAAGCTGCTATTTACTTTCCATTTGTTTTAAAACTTTAATAGCTAGTTTAATTTTCAAATATCTAGTAGTCAGAATGTATAAGCAATGATATTTTTACCTATTATGAGACTTAAGGAAGACAAACTGTATTTCTATAGCTGTATACTTTAAGTTTCTAGATATCTAAGTTAAGTTGTTTTTAAAGAAAAGAATCCATGATCTTTGTTTGATCTTAAAGTGTCTCAGAAGGTATTTGTCTACAATTTTGTATCCAAAGAAGAAAGGTCTAAAATTTACCCTTAAAAAATGAAAAAAAAAAACCTTCCCAAATGTATTTCTAAAGTTCTAAGTATTTCTTTATACATAACTCTGAGAACTTTAAGTATTGTCCAATGAGAAACTTTCCATCTAGAGCTTGGGAAATTTTTCTATAGTTGAACAGCAATCATGTGATTTGGTTAACACATTTTTGGGTCCTTTTTTCCTGAAAGCAAATTTTAGGTAGATTTTATATTAACTATTTAGAAACTAATTCTGACCTCCTTAATAATTTTAGAGTATACCGTTTGGTCTGAAGTCTGCTGTTGAAAGAGGATTATCTGCCGTTTTCCACACATTTAGCCCTAAAACCTCAAGTTCCACGATAAATGTCTCAGATGAAACAAGGTACGCTATTTTCCACCACGCCGCTCTCCACAACAGAATTTCCAACATATGTCACCTGTGCGGTGCCAACTTCAACATCAACCAGAGACGCTTTGTTATTGTCAGCCAAGGTACCATAAATCTTTTAACCCTAGAAAGTTTTTCTTACACTTATCTCTTATTCCACAGTAAGAATGCATGTCATTTTAAAGCAAGGTTAAAATTTGGTGTTGGTATCTTAAGCAAAGTTGAGGGTTTTGTTTCATTTGTCTAATAAGAGCTCCTTTTAGTTTTATTAAGTATCAATTGTTGCTAGTTTATATAGTATTATATTTGTTTTGTCTCCCTCATTTGAATATTAGCTCTATAAGAGCAAGGATTTGGTCAGCTTTGTTTATCATGATAATCTGGTGTTCAGAAGAAAGCCTGGCATTAGTAGTTGCTCATGAAATATTTGTTGAATGAATGGATGCGAGATAGAATTGGTAAGCAGTAGCACAATTAATATATAATGATGTACTATAGAAATTCAAAGAAAGGAGGGATGAATATGACCATCAGATCCTGGTAGAATATTCTTATCCTTATCTCATTGCTCTAAACTAAGGTCTAGTTTCTTCATATATTTAACAATGAAGAAATTCTTTTACAATACTATTTATGATTAATAGCCCCTTCAAGGGTAACCTGGTTTAAACTTTAAATAGCCATTTTTGCCAATTATTAAATATATACACATTTTACATCCACTGGAATAAATTTGAGAAGTACAAAAATAAACTTATAAATGAAAGTGGGGAGATTAATTGTCAAGATAAATAAAAATAAATGTCCAGGAATGGGTGGTACAATGGTATCGACAATAAAAATGGTTTTATGTTTTAATTAGATCAGCTACCTTAATAAGCTGTGTGGTTTTTGCACCCAAAATAAAATGTTATGGTGTAACCCGACTACTAGTAAATTCTGACCTCCATCATTGTGATTCAAATGTCTTATATAGTATTAAGATTTGTCTGTCAGTTGCAGTATTCAGTACAGAATGAACCTAGTTAAAATAATGCATGGGCTGGGGATTTAGCTCAGGGGTGCCACCGCCTGCCTCGCAACTGCAAGGTCCAGAGTTCAATCTCCAGTTCAAAAAAAGTAATAATAATAATAATGCATGATTCAGTCAAATCCACATACAATAGCTACCCTGTTATTTAAAGATGTGTTATCTTTAAACTTTTTTTTTTAGTATGAAAAGACTTTTGGTAAATTAAAATTGCTTGTTTATCCTAACTTCTTGGCTTTCCACTTGGTGATAATTGGGTAGATTTTGAAGTATTATTAGTAGTATCTACTAGTATCTAGTAGTATCTAATAGTACTATCTACTAGTAATATTATTGCTTCCTCAGCATGAAATTATAGCAGCTGCGAGTTTGAGGAGCCACTGGAGAGGCAGTTTCTAGGTCTGCTTTGATTGTAGCACTGGGCACAACAGCATGCCCACATGGCTTGGCCAAAAGTCACACTCAGGCCTATTAGGTGTAATCCCACTATCCATATCTACACACAGTCATTTTGTTCTAGTCATAGGAGTCTTCTGATTAATGCAGGAAACTGCTGTATATTAATAATCATGCTTCTATGTGTGTTCCCTTTTAAAACAGAGTCATCCAAAATGGACACAAAAAAAGAAAGAAATGGTAAGACGTAAGTAAAATATCCGGTGTGTTTCCAAAGGCTGTGACATGTATTGCAACTCTCCTTAGAGCACACAGTCTGCGAAATGTTCTGTCACATGAGGATGTCCCATAGTGGTGTTTCCTATTCCGTTTGAAGTATATTTTTTTCAATCATGGTTATATGATTTTCTTCTTGAGGTTTTTTTTTTTTTCCTTTTTTAAACTCTGAAACTTGCTGCCACCTTTGTTTTTATAAATTCAGACCCCCCAAATGGTTTTTACACCTTTAAAAATAAGCAATTGGTGTAACGTAGATCCTCGGGCTTCTAGAGGCTGTATCAGTTTGTGAGATCCGAGACAGGGTCATCCAGTGGATCCTGCCACTCTTCCTCAGAATCCAAAGGCTGTGAGACACTACTGAAGAGTTTTAAGCAAGGAAATGAAAAGATCAGATTTACATTATGAAAAAGATGAGTAGGGAAAGGACCATTTAAAAAAAGGTAGAGATAGCAGCTGGGGGATGATTGGATCAGGGTGCTTCTGGCCCTAAAGATAGGTTTCTGAGATTATTAAACCTTGGGGATGGATTGATTATAGAGATAAAATGAAGATGAGTGCTAAGGAGTATTCCAGGTTTTGATTTTGTAGAACTGGCTTGGATCATAATGTCTTTCACTGATTTAGAGAGCAAAGATAGAGAACCAGCTCTGGAAGGAAAGATAGGAGATCAGTTGTGAATGTATTAAGTGTGAGGTGATGCGTGGAGGTACTTAGCTCTGGGTGATATAAATCTGGAGCTCAGAGAAGACAACAGATGTCATCTAGGAGTCATTAATTTATAGATGGTAAGTGAAGCAACTGAGAAGAGATAAAGGCCTAAGACAGCTTTAAGGTTCATTTAGACATCAGGACAAGAGAAGATCCCTAAGGAGACTGCAAAGGAGAAAAATAGGGAGCGTAAGATGACAAAAGTCAAGAGAAGTAACAATTTGAAATAGGAACAAGTGGTCAACAGTATAAAGATACTGTTCAGAAGTTAGATGAGAATTCTCAAATGCCCACTGGACTTAGTGATAGAGAAGCCTTTTGTGAACATATATTTTTTATCAATTTTAAGCAATCTTATCTCCTACCACAAAATATTTGAATAAAATGGAAAATAATTTTGATATGGAATAGCTTATTTTATCACAAAGCTATTTTATGTATTCACTTAAATTTCCAAATATTTAACATTTTCCATGTTATGTATATTTATTCACTTAAAAGAAGTATGATATTTTCGTGGTTAGACATCCTGAGTTCAAGACATACAGGATTACCTAATTCATTATTTTAGTGCTTATCTTAGAGATTTTATATTGTATAACACTAAGCTCTATGGTTGGATGCCAAAAAGGTATGGTTTTTTAGGAGCGTTCATTCTTTGACCACTGAAGTATCATCCATCCATCCCAGGTCCAACACCTCTCCACCTGGCCACACAGGCTTGCTCATTGGAGAGCACCATCTGCCTACTTTCTTTCAAAGCTGATTACACACTTTCTGAAAAAAGAGGCTGGATACCGATCCACTTTGCCGCTTTCTGTGATAATATCTGCATCATCATTGTTCTCTACAGGAAGGATCCTAGTTTGCTAGAAGCGAAGGCAACCGCTGAGTAAGTTATTAGGCATTTATAAGGATACAAGTTTCTACATTCATGGCTTTCCCTACACAGTCACACTGAAAAACGCAGACAAGCTTTTGATACGGGTGACTTGATGTCCTTTCTGGTTACTGACTTTTCCTACCACATAACTTTACAATTTATCAAAACAAAAGCTTCCATCAATCTATGCATGTTTTCTAGAAGAATCAGCAGTGAGCTGTTGGGAGTTTTTCCTAAATTTGTCCCAGTAATATGGTTCCACAGGATAGTTGGTCAGGTTAACTACTTAGTGCCTAGGAAGAAGCCTAAGATTAGGGAACAGAAAGTTGCTCTACTCTGAACCCTATACAGCCATGAGTTAGCGCTAGGGGTCCAGAGTGGATGGGGCTTGTATCACAGAATAAATATCTAATGGTATCTGAAAGAGAAATGCAAAAAGAGAAAATTTTGAAATAAGAAAGTGTCCCTCAACATCTTTTATTGCACAATTTAAGTGAAGACCAACCTTTGGGGCAGAGGTATAACTTCTTTTAAAGGTACATTCTTGTCTAGGAATCTAAAGCACACATGTTAGTCTTTTGAACATCTGAATCTGATTGTGGTGGAGTTTCTTGCAGGTTTTTCTATGTCTTCAAATATTATTCAGTGGTCTAGGGCTAGTATAATTGTTTGACAGTTCCAGGATGCTGACTTTCTCTAGCTAGTCCTTAACATGGCTTCCATACCATGGTACAAAAGCAACTCCTCCTTTTATTATCATGACTGGAGATTGCAAAAGAAAATATTGAAACTCTCCATTCTCTTTAGGCAGTTGCCCATGTAATGTCCACTAACATACTGGCCAAGTTTGGTTGTGTGGCCATACCTGTCTATGAGAGAGATTGGGAAATGTAACATTGGGCTGGATGCCAAAAGATCTTCAGTATCTCAAAAAACTCTTAGTTTCTACAACAGTGAGGAATCTGGGATTTGAAAATTGGAAATGAAGTATGAGGGGATAGGTTTGACCGCTACCTGAGCCCCAGTTTCACCATTTGTGAAATGGGTTCATACTTGCCTTGCTTTTTACTTGATTCAGAGTGGTGATAAGGATTCGTCGGGACAGTATATTCTAAGAGTTTTGTACATTATCAACTTCCAAAGAAATTAAAAGGCTTGACAACCAAGTCAAAAAGGAGCAGAGGGACTTACACAGCCAGGCAAGGGAGGCGAATGTGTTACATGTGAAATACAGAGGGTGATCCTAAGGAAGAGGCGGTGATGGTATCAATCACAGTTCCTACAACAGTACTTCGAATGGCTTAACAAAAAGTCAAGTTGACACTCTGTGTGTACTCAAGTGGTATTATAATGCATTCCTTGATTTTTAGGAACCAGTGTACTCCACTGTTACTTGCGGCCACTTCAGGAGCTCTGGGCACTATTCAATACCTATTTTCTCTTGGGGCTAACTGGAGAAAAACAGACACTAAAGGAAACAATATAATTCATTTGTGTCAGTGCCAACCTTTCGTACAGAGGTACTTAAGCATATAATAGAATTAAACATTCCTGAACTCCCAGTTTGGAAAACTTTGGTAGGTGAGTATAGAACATACAATTTCTTTGTAAATAAATGTTTTTATTATCATAAAATAAATAAATGTGCGTTAAAATCAGAAACCAAAATACAAATGATAAAGAACTATATTTTGTGTACAAAAGTAGCTTTTTCTGAGTTACAATAAAGAATCTATGATAATTTTACACAAGTATGCTTATTTTTGTTTTTCAAACTTTCTCAGAAGTGAAGTCATTCTCTCTACTATCAAAAAGTAACTTTAAAAAAAGGAAAGGGAGGACATTATTTTAGGTGGAAAAGATTCCCTCTAACTTACTTATTATCTCCTAATTTTAGAGACAAATTTGGCAAAATAATTCTTCATATTCTGATAAATATTTTGTGACAAATTCTGTTTGACCCCCCCACTCCAATTTTGTGTTCAATCTAGCTAGAAATTTGAGGGTAAAGGTTATTTGGGTAACTGAATGTATCCATCTAGTTTTATTCCTTCCTGAGACCCCACTAAAACTGCATAAAGATTAAATAATAATTACACCAGTAGCAGTAGACAACCATATACAAAGAAAAAATGAGAGAAAATATAGTAACAACAAAATCTTACACAATGGATTCAGATAGGCAAATGTTAGGACTTAGCTGTCCAGAGAAAAGTCCTTCCAAGCCAACAATGGAAAAGCAAAGAAATTCTCAGACTCACATCATAAAGCCCTCAGAAAGCTTGAGAAATGGCTGGGCCAGTCAGGAGTGCTCTATTCAGCCTCGCCAAGAAAGATCTAAGGGCACTGAGGATGGAATTCTCCCTCACCAACAGAAGAGAAAGGGACCTAGGAAACTATAAGTCTCACCAAGAGAAAAGCAAGGGGGAACTTCAAGAAGGACAAGAAAGGGAAGTTCCAGAATGTAACTGTGCACCTAACCTAGAGGAAAAAGGCAGGAAGAATTGTCAGCAACTACAAAGCAATTCAAGGAGATGGAATAAAAGAAGGAAATTATTGCCTATAGGAAAGAAAAAAGGGAGAAGTGAGATATAGTTACACTACATAATAATACTTCACCATGAATAGTACCATAATTAAGCACTGAATATTAATTTAATTAACAATCCCAAATATGGTCAATGGAAAGCAAAAGAAAATGGCAGTGTGATAATGAAAGAGCAAATTTAATACATCTATAAATGACATCTAAGATCAATATAAGAAAATATAACAGCATGGGGGCCAGGAATTTAGCTCAGTGGCTCCACTGCCTGCCTCACAAGTGCAAGGTCCCAAGTTCGATCCTCGGTACCAAAAAAAAACCCCAGCATATATAAATATGTAGAAATATATAAATCACAAAAGATATTGGGAAAGGCATCCAAAGTGGTTCTGTCTGGAGAGATGAACCCAGAAAAGTGAGGAGGGTGGGGTCACAAACCATAACATGTTGCTATGGCCTTTGTGTTATTATTTAACCTTGAACCATGAGAATGAAATAAAAATTAAAGCAAACAGAGAAGAAAAGAGTTGGAGAGTGAGAACTGCTCAATTTAGGATGGGACAAGATATATTTAAGATTTTCAGTCACATGTTACTGGTCCAAGAAGTCTAAATATTTGGCTTCAAGACAGACTCAGTATCAATCTTGGAACTTGTTGAGTGCTGGGAATGTATTCTGAGTAAATCAGCCTCAAGAGATATGGGAAAATATTTGCAATGTTCACTTATATATCATTATATTTTAGACTTTTAAGGAGAGACTGAGAGGATCATTGTGTTACTTTTAATAGATTTAAACCATTGTAAACACCTACTTTAAGAATAGAAAGTCTAGCCTAATAATAGCTTAATGACACAAAAACACCCAATAGCCAATGCTTCTTACAGCCATTGTTGGAAAGTCCTGACGGTGATTTGAACAGGTCTGCCCACTTCTTTGCTTTTACCCTGGAATAGCCCTCCCTCCTCATCCTGCCCATTTCCACTATGGGCAAAAGAAGAATTAGTTTACTAGACATCTCCAGGATTAGCCCTTGGAGTGGAAGCTGAATTTTAAGAGCACACCATGGAGTAACTTAGCCAAGGTAGGATCAGGATGAATTTGCTAATAGAGTGGATTGATGAAGAGATGAAGAAAAGATAAATCCATGGACTTTTTTTACACTCTGGTCATTGTTTACAGGCATGCATATTTGTTATCTGTGGTCTGGAGTATAAATTCATGTGAGATTT